CACTATATTGCACATCCTACCTATAGATCTGCATTATATGGCGTCTAGAGGCTTAACTCATCCGGAAGTTGGAAATCAAGAACATATGGACATTTTAATTACCAATTACCTCCAACATTAAATGAACCATCCGATTATATTACCCCACACATAGATTTTGATAGAGTTTTCAAAGTCATAGTTCCTTCCAGGAGCGAGTGGTGTAGGGGTAACCTACCGAGCGAATATACCACCAGAATCTATACAGATGGTTCTAAAATGAACTGTGGTTCTGGTGTCTTCTGGGAAGAAGCTGGAGTAAGTATATCTCACCGTCTTCCCAACAACTGTAGTGTCTGTCAGGCTGAAATATTCTCGATAATGTCAGGAATTTTTGTTGATAGTCAAGCGGCACATCTCTCACTAAATTTTTATACTACCACTTCCCTATTAGTTACACAATGCAAAAAAAAACTGTCAAGGCTGTGTCGCCTGTCTGATATTACCCTTGTTTGGGTCCCTGCTCATAGGGACTAAGTATTATGGAAATGAACAGGAAGCTTGCCGCAACGGGATCTGCTCTTGATATCTCCAACGGCGTTCCAGTAGCAACCTCGTTAGGTTCAATCAAGAGTAGTATCCTCAGATTCTATCTTCAAAAGGCTGAAAATAGGTGGAATAATCTAGACACATCTAAAGGGGCCAAGATATTGTGGATATTGTGTGGGTAGACTCTTTATAAACCGAAGTAGACGGGATATATCGAAATTGATAGCAGTAGTAACAGGACACTGGGTGCTAGGCAGACATGCCAGTTCGCTTATGCTACCCTTCAATGAACACTGTCGCAGTTGCAAAGATAGGGGAAAAGGAAGAAACGGTCTTCCATTTTCCAAATGCCCTGCTCTTTCTGTTAAACCGCTTTCTTGGCAGTTACTTCTACCTTGGTAAGATATCTGGTTCTGAGATTAATAATATCCTGAGATTTCTCACTGCTACAGGCTGGATCTAAAACTATGCAATACTACATCTGACGAGTGGTGTGGTACGGTCAAAACGGAGTCTGTTAGACTCTACTTGACTGTTCGCGCTCAGTGCACTACCACGTTAACCAAACAACCAACAACATATGGTCTGTTCTGCAAGAATTTAAATGTGTTAAACTTTATGGTTCTGTGTTTCTATCCAACATAGTAACCTGCCCAATAAGCCCAAAATAGGTCTTTCAGAAATTGTATAATAAGTAGTATTTAACCCCATCCCGCTTACAAGCCCAAATTATATAAATCTGATTCGATTACTATACTCATCTATGTCATCCGATGGCTTCAAAAAGTTATGGCAATGACAAATATTGCAATTTTTATTTTAAAAAGACCACCAAAAACGATATCCTTAACAATAAACTATAACTTACCATATAATGATAGGGCCTAATTTGAGTTATACCTCTACTTTACATGCAAGTCTTGTGTCCTGCATAAATATTGTAAAACTATGTAGATAATTTGCTACGAAATTATTGCATCTGCAATTTTTTCTTTTTATTTAGTTAATATCAATAAATTGTTTACTAATGAAATACAAAATTTTCCTTAAATCTTGTTACTAAATAAGTATCCATCTTTCGTAATACTGACAAATCTAACTTATTATAATCCTTAGTTATGTGTTTTCTGCTTCTTCAACCACCACCTCAAGATTTCACCTAAACATCTGGCCATCACAGAGAGAAAAAAAAACACAAAAAATCTGTGGCTTAGAGAAGGAGAAAAAAAAAGAAATCTTACATACATACATCGTGGTGTGTGTGTTTTTTTTATTATTTTTGACACGGGTCATTTTTGTTAGTTTTTGTATCTTTTATTTCAATCTATTACTTCCTATAACAACAAAATGTTCATACGTACGCATAAAGATTGATGCAAGAAGTAAATGTTATAGAAAATTGTGCAATTGTTTGGCAATTTATTGGAAAAGGGCTTGATGTCATATATTTCTCAATCATTGTTCAGTTAGCCTGATTGTGTTGTAGTTTTTTCTTATTTGCCATTTGTCTTGGACACATTGTTCAATGTATTGTGTATTTTTCCTTCCAATTCTTTACTTTACAAATCCAAATGCCCTAATTTATCTTCTTATTTCATGATTTTTCTTCGTTGGATTTTAAGGAGTTTTAAAAAGTGCATTTTCCAGTTATTTTAAAGAATACAATCTTTAAAACGATAAGTATATTAGTTTTTTTTTTTATATATACTTTCTTCAGTTATTTTAAAGAATATCATCTAAAGTAAACATTTTTTGAAAATTCGTAGTTGCAAAATAGTTTGAAAGAAATACATCTAGACCGCTCTAGGGGCCGTTGTGTTTTCCTTTAGCTTCTCCTCTAGTAGGTATCAAACCTGCAATCTCCGGACAGACCGAGGATGTATGTTACATCAGTCCTGAAGAAATACATCTAGACCGCTCTAGGGCCTGTTGTGTGTTGCTTTACGTTCTCCTCTAGCAGGAATCAAACCTGCAACCTCCGGACAGACCGACTATAACACTACCTACGCTGGAGGCACTCTTAATTTTTTATTTAGTTAAAATTATACCAAAATATTGAAAGACCTTTTTATTAACAACTAAGACAATATTTCGTATTCATTCATTTACAAATAATCCAATGAATTCATTCCTTTCCACCACTTTTTACAACAAATGCATCACGTTATACACGAGTGTGTTGTTGTTATTGGAAATTTTGTGGTAAATACAGCAGACAATAAATTGCATAGTGATCACAGTGACCAATGCGGAAAATTTCTTTGTTTCTTCTACCTTTGTGTAATATAAGTTTTTGTTTTTTTAAGATATTTTTCTTTCTTTTGAGGATCAATAATGATTCCGGATTCTTAGACAGCTGTGTTTGTAGTTCGTGTTGGCAAAAAAAAAAAAATAATTTAGCAAATTTTTCAAAATAAAAAAATATGTATCTTTTTTTATCCTTCAATAGGAAGTGCGGAAAATATCAAGGCTATTTACAATTTGTCTTCAAGTTGCAATAAAAAATAGTTTTTGTTCAATTCAATTGGTCATTATTAATGGATTTTCATTGCGTAAAATCTTGTTTAATGCCTTAAATTGATTTTTATGGGAATTTCATAAATGTATAACAAAATAAACAGCGAAAATTTTATTGTCCTAAAAAATATAGTTTTTAATCAAACAAAAATACATACATATTTATATAAAAAGATCTAAAAAAGTAATTTTTACACTAAGAGAAAAAGCAGCAATCCAGACATGAATTTAATCACTTGATCAATGAAAATATTAATTGTTTACGAGCTAACGTAGCCTTTCACTGGATTAATGTATGAAGTTGTATGCATGAACTATTGAAACCTTCATGACTCTACTATGAAACTATTACATTGACAAAATGAAATTAGATATTAATTTAATGAATATATTTCATAAACGTCATGAAGTAACTTCGTTGCAAAATTGTATTATTTCATTAACCCTTTCACGCACAAAACTAAACCGCTAGACTTTTTATGGATATGATTTCATCACACACTTTATTTTGACGTATATTGATCATTTTTGATGAAAAATGGAAAAAGTGTCTTCGAAGGATATCGCAGTATATTATCCTTGTTAGCATGTAGTGACATCAAATTCTAAAAACTAACTAATTTTTCTTAGAAATAACCGTTTACTGTAGCTGTGAACTCAAAATTACGCTCTATATCGAGAAAAATGTAAAAAAATCTTGGAATACCGCTGTCCCGTATACGTGAAAGAGTTAAAGTCATGTAATTATGGCACTAACTGAACAACTGATTACATCAGCGAAGTGATTAATAATGACTAATTTTCTTACATTTTATGAAACTATATCATCATATTATGATATATTTCATTATTTTTATGAAATTGTTTTCCTATTCAAAACAAGTAAATGAAAAATAGCAGATTTATATAAAATGCGGCTTTAGTGTTGCAGAAAAATATGATAATTGGCCTTTTTGGAAAAAAATTTTAATTTTTATAGAAAATGTTCATTAGTTTTGGAGAAATTTTGTATAACGATGCTTATTGATAACTAGTTACTAACAAATTTGTTATTCATGAGATAATGATGCCATTATTTATCATGTTTTTATTTAATAACTGAACATCAGGAAATGAAAAAGTATTAAATATGTTAATAGTTATTATGTAAATAATAAAAATTATAAGTTACTTATATACATATGTATATATACTTTAGGCAGACATATAAAAAAATCTATTATCTAAAATCATTAGTAGTTTTTTGTTAACAAAAAGATTTAAAATTTGTGATAATTTTTTATAAATATTTTGTGAGAATATTTTTTTAGAGATACTTAAGACATTAACACATATATTAAATATGCTCTCAAGAGCCTAGATTTTCATCTTACTACAAAATTATAACAAAATAGACCATCTCACATTTTTTTTCTTAATAATCTTCCTGCCACTTCCTTTCACACTCTATTGGCAAAAAGTTATAGAATACGAAAAAAAATAATAAATGATGGGAACTTTTTTGAACCAAATTAAATTAAATCACAGTTACACCTTTAAAATTTTTGTTTTCAATCTTTCTTAAAAAATCGAAAAAATTATTGATTACCTTGACAGATATCGAACTATTCATTGCATATACATACATCTTGTGATCAATCGTGATCATGAAAATCAACAGATAATGTAAGAAAAAATATCAATTACTATTTTTCTGCCCTAATTAAAATTGCAATCCTTCATTTACACACATACTCTCATACCCAGATATGGAAAATAATGAAAAACGATTGTTATTTATTGACAAAGGATAATAAAAGAGAGGCAATACTCTCTTAAATATATACATTAATTTAAAGAAAGAGCATTCTTTGTATAATGTATATAGTATTCTCTTTGGTAATAGATTATAGAGTTTGTGGTATAAATAGCCAGGGTGGTTACAAATTGAAGAGTATTCGGTAGTTAAACAGCGACGAGAACACATTCTTACTCAGATGCATTTCGACAGTTGAACGGAAACGACGTGTGTGTGTTGCTTTATTAATAAAAAAAGAAAGAAAAAAATTAAAAATTGTGTTCAAGTTCAAGAACATTAAAGAAAATTTTTATAAAAATTAAAAAAAAAAATCAAGAACTAAAAATAAAAGTGTTAACAACTTAATCAATGCTTTAGTGAAATTTCCTCTATATATACTTTGGATTACAACTTACATTTTGGATAACAATCTTATAGCAGTTGGATTTCTTTAGTAGTTTGATTAAGGTAAGTTGAATTTCAAACTTCTGCCTAATAATTGATTGCCAACTCAATTGTGTGTAAATAAAGTGACTGGACTGTAAATGCTCATAACTCTTGTGAATACTTATATTCATAACTACTTATAAAACCTCTTCATGGACACTTATTTAAAGGAATCTCTATCAACCACCAATTTTGACCTCCTAAGTTGTGAATATATTATTCAAAAGCAGGGGTATTAAACTTTAAATTTCTTAAGTAAATATATTGCAAATTTGGATAAATTACCAAATTTAAAGCACATTGGCAATTGCAAAAAAAATCATTATTTGAATTGTTTGCTCTTGTAGGGAAGTTAATCATTTGTAAAACCTGAACTCTTTTTCATTGTACTCCATGAATACAATAGGTTTTTCTTTTTTTGCTTACACAGCTGGAATTCCTTTCAAAGCTAAAGCACAAGAAAAGCTTTTTTTAACTTAAAGAAATCAAAGAAAATGCAAAAATACACACATGAATCTCCCAATTTAGTAACGTGTGGTGTGGTTCTTTTTTTCTTAAGATTTTATTTTTGTTTGCAAAAATTAAAAAAAGGAAAAAAAGACTTCAAAATTTTGCGCGCGAATTTATTTTTTGCAAAGAAACGAGTTTCATTTGTTTACTGATCACACAATGAAGACGACTTTTGTACTCATGTTGTTTTGTATCTTTTTTTTAAATTTGAAATATACTGCTTCTGAGAGTTGAGTATTTAGTTGGTTTGTTGCAAGAACGGATTAAGTAGAATAAATAATAGTTATTTAGGCGAGTATGCTAATAAAAATGTACTTTTATAACAATTAAAACCTGAATTTCATTCACATATTTATTCATTCAAATTCTTGTTTTCTTTTAATTTTAGTTGTGGCATTAAAAACCGCTTAAAAATGTTGAAATGGGCAGTTAATGGTCCTCGCCAGAGTTATACACAAAATGGCGATAACAATCCGGATTTTCCCGTCACATCTGGCTCTTCGCAACAACAGCAAAGACGTCGTTTGAAACGTAAATCTTCTGACCTGAGTACGCTTAGACCTAAAACATCATGGCATGACAAAGAAAACCAATATACCTCCACACCTTTGCATCCAACAACCAGAAGTTTTTCTGAGAGTCCTTCACGTAAAATGGATAGTTTAAAAGATTTAAGTAACATAGTGCCCGAAATGGCCTACAGTTCTCCTTTGAGATTATCCACCAACAAAATATCTCCACATATGTTGAAAACACCAGAAAACACACAAACCCGCAAAAATCTGCCTAATAATTATGCTTCCACATTGCCCACTTTCGATGTAGAATATTCACCTTGTGCTCTGATTCCCGGTCCTATATTGGCGTTAAGGGGTGTAGGGATACCAGATAGTTACTTTGAAAAGCCTAGATACATAACACCTCATCCCAAGGAAATGTTAAACAATATTAATGAGGAACCTTCTCTAGAAACCAAAACACTACAGAAACAAGTCGAGTCTAATATGAAATATCCTGTTTATATGGAAGAATCTACTTTAAGTTCAACAAAGATGGGAGATGTAACCTTAGAACGCATGATAGACGCCATACTTGAAAGTAACCGAAAAGATAGGAAATCTCAGAAAGCTCAAAAACCTTCACAGCAACAGCATTCCAACATGTCACCCACCTATACACCAGCCGAAGATCCAGCCAGTGATTTGCATGAAGTTTGGGATTCAGAAAAGGCACGCTACAGACAGAAGGAACAAAAATTTAGAGCCGGATTAACGAAAAAGAGTTTATTCAATGAAAGAGAAATATGTTCGCCACAACTGCAAGAAACCCTAGATCCAGGCCAATTAAGAAGACAAGGAGGTCTTAGAAGAAAACGTAAAATCACTCAAATTACAGCTAGTGTCATGAGTTCTGCTCAAAAATTATTGGGAAAAGGTCCGCATGCACAAACACCCTTTATGCATTCACATAACCTGCGCAAAGTATTCGAGGCTGAACTCATACACGATGAAATACATCCACGCAAACTTTTGCGCAATCTCAGTCCCGACAGTGGTCACAATTCATCTAGTGACTACGAAGAGGAAGAAGATGACTCCACCTTAGAATGTATGACGGATGACAACAAAACTTTAGATAATACCAAAAGAAGATTGAGTTTTTCTTTGCAAAATTTAAATAAAACATAATATAGAGTAAAATAATTACATTTTTGTAAATTACTGCCTTAATTCTTAAACAAAACAAAAAAGCAAAATTATTTTCAAATAATTAATATAATTAAAAATGTTGAAAAGTTATCAATTTGATTGTTTTTAATTAATAAGAAAATTTAAATAAAAACGAAAATAAAAAAAAAACAAATATAAAAATTGCTTTCTTAATGAAAAACACAGGGAGGTGGGATATGGTAGAGTATAACAGATAAAAGTAAAGATTTTAAATACAGAACAATTTGTTTTTTACCACTGAAACAGTTATTTTCAAAATTTTATGCAAATTCAAAAATAACCGTTACATAAAATATGTTCTTATACCTTTATATAACAAAAAACCTTAACAATTTTAATTTTAAACAGTTATTAAAATTTTTCACAGTCATAAAGCACCTGTGACCAATATCTAGTTCGAAACAACATTCCTGTTACACCTACAACAAATGTTTCTTTCTGCTTGGTTTTCCCAATGGTATTTAGAGTTAAACAAAATAGTTGCAGTTAAATAAAGGAATATGCTAATAAGGTCCTTTTGGTCCCAACACTGCAGCCGACCAGAACTAAATTATGCATAAATTTAAACAAAATAAAGGAAACAGAAGTTCTCTCAAAACCAAATTATTTAAAAAACATATGGGTGTCGTAGATCAACAAATGTAAGAACAAACATTTTGTCAAAAACTTTGAAGGACAACTGGACAATGTTCCTTTAAAGGCATAGCAAATATTTCAATTTATAGAATTGTATTAAAACAGGTGCATTTTATTTGAAATTCAAATCATATTTTTAAGTTAACAGCTTGTAAATGAAAACAACAAACTAACTATAAAAACAGCTATTGAATTTGTAATTGATCTGAGCAGGTGAATATTTGTTGGATTATATATTATTAAGGCTTGTGTGAAAACCGACACAAAAAATAGAATACAGACTCTCGCTTGCAGCCTATGTCCAGACAAAGTAATTAATTTTGTTCATTCAACATCTTTAAAGGAAATTGTAGATTTCAACGATTACATACAACACACTTAAATTATCTAATCTAAAATTGTTAAAAAAGTTATAAAATTTTAAATTAATTGTTTTGTTTATTATTATTTTTGTTTATATAAAGAATGTCCTTTGAAATAAATGTACAGCTGTTTTGATTTTGTATATGTGTTTTATTCATAACCAGATTGTTGTTATTGCAAGCGAATGTGTCACATATAATTACAAAAGGCTCAACCATATATTTATACAGGATTCCATGGCATACAAGAATATATAACTACGTACTTACTTATACTTGTATGCATGTATGGGCATTGAAGTTAAAAGTCCTTAAGGCAAATTTAAAAACAATCACTTGAATGTTGGATATTTGTTTTTGCGCCAAAAAAAAGTAAACAACTACACGTTAAGAAGTATTTGGTTGAAATATAAAATCTTTAACAATTAGTATATTAACAAACAAATTTCTAAAGTTTTTTTTGTCTGTGTATTACAATGTATTGTCGAAGAAAAAGTGAAATGCAAAAAAAATATATATATTAAAAATCTTAGCGCAGACGACAGTAAGGACATCTGTCTACACTAGCACGAGTCAAGGGCACTCAGTCTATTATATCACGTTCCTTGTAGCGTACTACATGCAGGCAGACATTCAAGTATACGGAAGCCTAAAACTACTTACATACGTACGACTATAAGTATAAAAATTGTGTAGGACGTCTGGTTGTTTAACACACACACACACACATACACCCTCTCGCATACATACTTAAGACAATTTTCTTTGTCATACAAAGGATCCTGATCAAATAGAAATGCCAGTTGTAGGCGATTAATGAAGCAGAAGTATTTATAATAAAAGTAAAAAAGAAAGAAATAAAAAGGGAACCCGAATAATATTGAACAATTGCTATTGTTGACACACAATCAGAATGAATTTCAATTTGGATTTGCGCGCCAAGATTTGTTTTCCTACATTATAGTACTTGCAACCTTGAACAATAAATACACGTAAGCAAAATGTTTTCTATAAATGTAATTTTGTATAGAAATTAAAGGAAAATGTTGTAAAAGCATTTAATCTATTCGAATCAATCGTATAGAGAACAAATAATAGAGAAAATGCTTTATCATTTCATGCTTATCTTTTGGTAATAATCAGAGCATATTACACGACAATTTTAAAGTATTTCACACATGTCTTGTGACTCAACTACCACTAGCAGCTACTATAATTTCTACAGCTATATATAGCTAATGCTAGCTAGGTTTAGTGCCCTACAAATATTCAATATTCTTAATGATCCTTCGTCTTCTCGTACAGACAATTAATCATAGTGACGTACATACGTTGGTAGCGCACACCTTTTACAGACAGTTATCGTAAAGAAAGAAAAAAGTCTTTATATTTTTTTTGGGTTTCCTTTGGATTTTTTCGCTTCAATTGTCAAATTTATGTTGATAAATTTGGATTTCGCGCTCTTATTTCCATGTACGTCTTCTAAATACCCATAACATCCTTTTACCTTGATTGCATCTGTGTGTAACGAATTATTATTTTTTTTTTTTTTAATTTTCTTTCAAAAATGACAAAAATTTAGAGCAATCACTCAAAAATTAAAGTTACGTTTATATTTTGTAATAACTTGAGATGACTTGTCTTTTGCCAGCATCATGCTTATCATCACACATTGTGGGATATACTAGAGTTAGAGTTCATTTGAACTATCATATCCTGTTGTGTTTGTTATACTTTGCTTTAATCTGGGTGACTTTTTACAAATAATTGAACTTGTTTCTCATTTTTATTGGAATTTCCTGTGGTAAACTTAAAAATTTGTTATTTATTCTTATTAAAAAAAGAAACGAAAAACTAGATTTTTGAAAAAGTATAATAAAAATACTTTCATTTGTGATAGACAACTCGAGTTGGCAAACAGTAGTACAGACAAATGTATCGTTATATAGATATTGCGCTGGATCAATCCCTTATGGGTTTTCTATTATTTTCATTATTTGAAATAAAACTGAACTGAATAAATACTTAATCATGTGTAACTTTGCTAACTAGAAAAGAGTTTCCCTGTTCCAGACAAGTTTATTACTTTTTTGTGGCCACATTTTATAGCTCTGAAATTTACATATTCTTTTAAATTTTTTTTACAACAAAAAATTGTCATAAAATACATTTTTTTCCCGGAAGCCACAAAGTATAATCATCCCCAAAAATGCTACATATTTACAAGAATTAATGTTTATTTCCTAAAATAAAATATTTCATAAACAAATGCAAGTGAATACATTGTTTTAAGTATAACAAAAATCAATCAATTTTAAGAACGTGGGAAATTAATTTACAAAAGAATTGAAAAGGCCAGTCCACTAACAGATTTCTAATTTGGTTTGATTTTAATAATTTTGTTATTTCCTTAAGTTAATTATTTTCCAATATGATAAAGACAAATTAAGAAAACTACCCAACTACAAAGGTATAAAAAACTAGGTAAAAAACTTAAAAACTTATGTTAGTAGTACAGGTTATAGTTCCCAGCAATTAAAAAAATACTTTAGAACTTAGCAGAGCGTAAATTCTAACAACAAAAACACATTAAAAAAATATATTGAAGAAAATATTACTTTAAGTGCCTTCAAGTTATGTGTGCAAACATTTAAGAAAATAAACTCCAAAACATTAAAGTACAAGTAAACTATTTATATTCTTCTATCAGGTATATTCACTGACTCATAGAAGGGTCAACAGGAATTTAAACTCATTCAACATCTTCTGACCCTTCTCAAAAGAAATTGCTGTAAATTCTTAGCTCATTTATACATACACATATTATTAAATGTGTAATACCAATAAAAAAATATTGAGGCATAAATAGTAAACAATTTAGATGCAAGGTAACATAAACAACGGCAATGATGGCCAATGGTCAATTAAACCGAAAATAATGGAAACATCATAGTTAGACACATAACATTACATTTTGCCAAAGTAGCAACCTTCTTTTTTAAAGACAATGAAAATAAGTAAAGGTTATGAAATCAAAATATTTTCCCTTCATTACAATATAAAACAAAATTTAACGCGTGATGTGTCGCGATCTAATGACCACCACCACTAAATTTGATATGAAAGCAATTAAAAAGTATCTTTCCGTTATTCGGGGATGAATTAATTGTATTTTCCTCTTTCCCTTTGGTCACTTTCAATTCAGTAATTTCATGTTATTTTCATTATCAATGTAAGCTTTTCTTTTACAAGGTGGTGATTTTTCGCGTTTGTTTTCTTAATGTCACACATACACATCTTGTAGAAATGTCACCATTGTGACTTTTGCGTGTAACATGGATGAAAGATAATCTATGACATCTTGCTTAAGGAAATTCTATTGTTTTTAACAATTGGTCATTTTGATTAATGCTAAAACCGTGAAAATGACCCCTAATCTTGTTAGAAGTTTATGTCTAAACACACGAACACATAAATTTAAATCACGCCTCTTTAAAGTATCTTTTCTGATATCTTTAATAGGTAAAATATTTAACCATATATATTTATTTATAATAATGTTTTTGTGTACTTCAGTTATATAAAGAACGGTCAACAGTGGTGTCCTTGTACAAAAAACTAACAGACTGTAACAAGGTTATAAATATTTTCTATATTAAAATATGTTTAATTATATTATTTTCAATTAAAAAACTTTATTTAATATTTAAAAGAAAAACAACACAACATCTTTAGAACATGCAAGTTTTAAGTTATTGGTGAATAATTTCACACTGTTTGGATTTTAGAAAAAAGCCTTCGAGCATAACGTGTGATCATGAAATCCTTAGGAAAATTTTATATAACACGAGGTTGATTTTAGTAATTTAACCTCATTGTGGCATGATTTGTTCTTTTAGTAGGTGACATGGGTCATTTTTCTTATATACTTAATGTAGATTCAATAGGATTAAGTTATCATCACAGATGATGATGATGCAGATAAAAGTAATAGAAAAACTAAATAAACTTTTGCCATTGAATCTTTTAAATTTGTTTGTACAGCATCACATATACAAATCTAAGGGCAATTAAGGGGCAAATATTGCTGTTGCCAGAACTATACATAAAAAATAGTTTTTTTTAATATCCCAGGACTGACAGTTTTCTTAAATAGTTTGTCAAGCGTAAAGGAAAATTCAAAGAAAACGTTTTATTTTCAATTTTTGTTATTTAAATTTAATTGTAACAAAAACATTGTACACAAACGACAGTAAACATTTGCATATACACCACATCTTAGGTACAAACAACAGATAGATATTGACAATGTAGCCTTTTTTAAAATAATTTAAGCGTTTTTATAACCTTTGATATGAGTGTTAAAAATATATTTGGGTTTTTCATTCCATGAGTAATTTTCACATTCACATGTAGCCTTTTTTGTAATTTAAGCGTTTTTATATCCTTTGATATGAGTGATAAAAATATATTTGGGTTTTCCATTCCATTAGTAATTTTCAAATTAAGATTATTAAAAATCAAAGAAAAAGTAGTTGAAGAACTCTTTAAGGAACTAAGAGTTCATCTTGAATCAAGAATATTGCCTAAATTTTGGAATTACATACATGATTTTCAATCAAAACTTCGAAAATTAGAAGTTAATGTTGTTAATTAAAAACAGATTTTACAGTAAATTAAAATTTTTATTAGGTAAGGTTGAAAAGGTAATCTACAAATATAACATCATATCCGGAAAATACGCCCATTTCGCGGTCCTGTTTTGTTTTTAGAAAACCCCTATCTATGTAAGAATTTATAGCTTTACCACAGTTTCTCGAAATCGCCTATTGACAACATTGTTTCTTAAATTCATTTTAAGATTGTTCATATTTTTTTACTGCTTACAAAAAAGGTTTAAAATTATTAACAAAACACTGATCTTAAGACAATTTATATACGTCCCATAATTCCTTGTCCCTTAAGAGAATAGAAAATACAAGTTGGAAACAAAATTGTTTTTCTTCGTGTGGCATATGCTTCTTAATTCCTACAAAACTATATGCACGTTTGTTCCTTTAATAAACTTGCGTAAGAAATTTACATTTAACCCTTTTAATAAATTTGTTTGGTTGTTGTTTTTGTTTTTAATACGACTAGGATCAGTGAAGAAAGGACATTTTGTAGGTTAGTTGTTTGTTTAAGGTAGAAATGATAACTTGTACGTTTATATGTATGTTACCCTTTTTTTTGCATTAGAGATTGTCATCTTTGCGTAACACACGAAAAATTGATTAAATTAGAAAAAATGACAAGAAAAAATTTATAATACAAACACTCTCATGTACACAGCCACATGCAATGTGTGTTTGTATTACTTAAGCGCCTTTTTTATTAAAAGTGAACGGGACAGGACGTGTTCTGGCATGTCTTTGCCAGAGCAATAGAAGCAACAGACCACATGGCAAATTATTTTGTCAAAAAAGCAAAACTAGTTGTTGGGAATTTAATTTCTTTGTAGCATAATAATAAAAAATGCCGTTAGAGAAGTTATTAAATATTAGCTATTCGGTTATTTAATTTTTGCAAATTAATATAAATTTTCCATAAACACTATATAATAAACTGCTCAACATTTAATTTTAACTTTTATTTTGTTATTACTGCAAAATAATAAATTTTCAAACGACTTCATTAAATTTTAATTTTTATTACATCATTTTTTATTGTAACAATAGTTTAAATTTCTTTTCATCCGAATATAATCGAATAACACAATTATTACATGCAATAACATGATGTTTTTAATTGTTTCTTGATAGAGCTGTTGTATACCAGATACTTTATATCTAATATACAAACAACCAAACGCCACCAGCACATTCGATAAACGTTCCTCATCCAACACAACTAAGATAACAATTTTACACCCATATATTTTGTTTGTTTATAATTTTTTGCTACTGGCATACTCGTGGCTATGAGATGTTTGGATGGTTGGATGACAATGATGTTTTAACGTCCAAATGACAAAATTAAAAACCCCCGACTGTTGACACACACATATGCATTTTTAAGGACAAACACCTTTACCCGCATAAAACTGTTACTTTGAAACGTTTTATAACAAAAATTTCACCTCAATATTAAGTACATTTTTGGATAGAGTCTATATAAATAAGAGAGTGAGTGGGTAACGCGTGCAACAATGTGTCAAATACAGTAGTGATCAATGAATGAATAAACAACTAAACGAAAAATGTGTACTCGTATTCGAACAATGACAAGAAAATGGCAAACATGTGCAAAAACTTGATGATAAAAGAAAATAATAGGTTGTCATTTAACTGTTTTTCATTTGGAGGTCCTCAACAACATATAAAAAAAATTTTGTTGTTTGGCTTTTAAGAGGGCCTGTCAGTTTTACTATTTGTTAATATGCTGGTAAAGGTGTATTTTAACAATGTGCCACTTTCCTGTCTCGGTTCTATTTATGGTAATTAGCATTATTTTGTGAAAATTTTGCATACCGTTATATGCGTTTACACTTATTTAGGCTTATGAACAATATAAGAGTCAAGGTACTTGAATAACTAACAACTGTTCTATTGGTATTGTACACATAACTTAAAATTAAAGGATTAAAAAGGTGTTAAAAAGACTTTCACTCATAATATGAACAGCGAATTCTTTCTATTTACTATGTTTATGAGCAATTTTTCTACATAATAACTAACTAAATCCAAAGCCGCTATATTCAAGTCATATGCGGACCAATTGTTATAAATGTTACAAGATTATTACCTTCTTAAATAAAACTGCTTCCTCCTTTACTTCCACACATTTGCAAGTAATCCTCCAGTCTCCTTTATCTCCAAACAATTTACTTTGTGTAGTTATTATTTTGATGTTTTTTTTTTTTTTTTTTTTTGATTTTCTAACACTTATTATAATACATACATGTGTAATTCATTTTATCATTTAACCGCAAAATATTAATACATTCGATTTAACCATTGTCAAACACTAATAATTGCATTTTTATTTAAAGCCTTCAATTATTTCAAATACTTTATGCTTCATTTTATTTTAACTATTTGTTTACAATAACAAATAGCACACTTTCAAACAACAACAACACCAACATTATACTCCTCTGTTACTTTTTCTCCTACTTCTGATGCAATACACAAACAACAAAACGAAAGACAAAACAAAAGAAATAACAACGCTAACTATTAAAAAAATTGCAATTTTCTTATAATTTTCTAACACATTTCCTGCTCGATTTAATTAATTTTATTGGCAAATTTTTATACAATTATATTCACAAACACTTTTATTATATATTTATGTAAAAATATTTCAACTTTCTTTGTTATTTTAATGCGAAAACTTAATTAATTTGGCAGCAAGTCACTTAACAACCGAATAGTTTAATAATTTATGCAAACTGAAAGAATGGAAAGTAAAAATGTCATGTCAAATGAGACGAAATAGAGAAAATATTGTATGTATTTGATTGTGAAAGAGAGGGTGAGGAAAAGGGGGGCCATGCGTAATGCGCTTTAACTGAGCAAAGAGATTTGGGTTTGTTTGTTTGTATGTATGCATGTAAGCAAAAACAAAACAATGATTTAATGATGATGATGATAATAAGAAAAATAGGGTAAATATCAAAACAGTGTTTTTTAATATTTCTTTGATTTATCTTTCTTAACTATTTAATAGTTCTGCAGATTTATTTTTCCCAACTTGTTTAGTATTTTCTTTTTTATTTGTTAGTTTTCTACCTAGCGATACTTTAGTTGTTTAAATATTGTTTACACAATAGTGAATATTTAAATGAAGCAAATTTAAAGAAATAAAAATATATTTTCTTGAAGAAAAAAACGCGCTTCTTATGTAAATGTTTATTTAGAAGATAATTATCTATATCTTAAAACAGATAAACAGAAAAAAAGGATTGTATATTTTATCCTCAATTTTGTTTTGTTCTCTTCTCTCTTTTCTTCCTGGTAGGATAATTAAATTTTTTAAATTTTTTTCTTCTTGTTTTCAAAACAGACACGCGCTAATGATGAACCAACTTATTGATTCCTTATCATACATTAAGCAGTTCAAAGTAAATTGGAATTTATTGAACTATTAAAGGCCACAAGCTGTTTTTTCGTCTACCAGAAACAGGTGATTTTGTCAGGGAAAAAGGATAAATGGCTTTCTCACTTTGGATACAGTAGGCATTTTACTAATTAAATTTTCTGTTGTCTTTTATTTTTTGTATACAAATATTTTTTTCTCCATTTTATAAGGCTCATTGAGAAAAACATGTTTTCTTCCTTAAGTGTCATACATCATTTTTAAAATTTCATGTTCTTTCCTGTATGATTTTTAATAAGATGTTCTCGTTTAATGCCTCGTCTAATATTAATGGTAATCATTTGGAAATCATTTTCATATTTTAGTTTTTATGAAAATAAATATATAAAACTGTGTAGTATATTTTTAAATAAATACAATTTATTGTCCCTTAACATGCAGTACATCTACTGCTACTTTTTTGTTTTTAATTAATGTTAAGCAATTTTTCATATCTTCAGATTCTTTACATACCAAAACTATGTATTGTTATTTGGAAATGTAAATTTAATGTAATTAAAAACATTCTGGGAAACCTTTTTCTTTTAATTATGAATTGTTAGGGGTTTTTAGCACGTTTTTTTGTGGAAACACTTTTCTTTAAGTAAACTAAAAACAAAACACATAAATAATTCAAGAAAAACACATATTGCGTGTCCTACTTAAAGATTCAACAACTGGTCTTTTGGTCTATGTGTCTTGTATTTAAGTCTTAAGTCTACATACATTACTCAAATTTATTAGGTATTAAGTATTGTGCCGATACCTTTCCTTTCTCTTTGGAACTTCTGGTTTGCTTGGCGTGAACTTAAATATTGCATGAAAAATCATCCAAAATCGTTTGTTCAAACATTTTACTATTCCTACTTACTTACATACCATAAGATATTTTACGACTCTTTGCCGGTTTATCCTTTATTCGGTCATTCGTCCGTCAGTTGCAGCGAAGCGTAAAACTTGTTTCACAACATTTGCATTGTGTGCTAACCCCCAAAAGTAGTTCGATTACTCGTTCTATTTAAAGTCCTTTTCCTTTGACTTGCGCTAATGTTTAAAACAAGCAACCATATGTTGAAAGAAAAAGTGCAAAACGTTTAAAATTCCTATAAAATTTTAAAAAATTACGTGTAAAAACCAAATTTTGTTTATATAAATAGTTTATAGACCAATTCTAATAAAATTATGTGTATAAATAATATAATATTTATAGTCTTCGAATGCCATCAATACAGGATACGAATAAACTGAAGGGGTTAATTTTATTTAGCATATGGTTTCAATTTAAGAGCAACATTTAAATAATTGAGTCGAAAGAGAGTGTGAAGAGAGTACTTCATGCTCTTCATAAAAACATATACAACCTTAAGAGAAAATAGAACGAAGCACTCTTTCAATAATTAATCTAACGAATACCTGCTAAAGGATAGCATGGTCCTTTACGTCTTAGTGCCTCCAATTTCTAAAAGTAGTAGGAAATAAGAGTGATCACAGATTTTCATCCGTTTGGCCCTAGCTCTTCTAGATTAGCCAGAAAATGGACTTTTATGTTTTCATCCAAAATATCGAATTTTGGTAGAAAATGGACTTTAATGTTTTCACCCAAAAAATCGAATTTTGGTAGGAAATAAAAGTGATCACAGATTTTCATCCGTTTGGCCCTAGCTCTTCTAGATTAGCCTGAAAATGGACTTTTATGTTTTCACCCAAAAAATCGAATTTCGGTAAGAAATAAAAGTGATCACAGATTTTCATCCGTTTGGCCCTAGCTCTTCTAGATTAGCCAGAAAATGGACTTTTATGTTTTCACCCAAAAAGTCGAATTTTGGTAGGAAATAAAAGGAATCACAGATTTTTATCCGTTTGGCCCTAGCTTTTCTAGATTAGCCAGAAAATGGACTTTTATACTTTCACCAAAAAAACGAATTTTAGTAGGATTTTAAAGTGATCACAGATTTTCATCCGTTTGGCCCTAGCTCTTCTAGATTAGCCAGAAAATGGACTTTTATGTTTTCACCCAAAAAATCGAATTTTGGTAGGAAATAAAAGTGATCACAGATTTTCATCCGTTTGACCCTAGCTCTTCTAGATTAGCCAGGAAATGGACTTTAATGTTTTCACCCAAAAAATCGAATTTTGATAGGAAATAAAAGTGATCACAGATTTTCATCCGTTTGGCCCTAGCTCTTCTAGATTAGCCAGAAAATGGACTTTTATGTTTTCACCCACAAAATCAAATTTTGGTAAGAAATAAAAGTGATCATAGATTTTCATCCGTTTGGCCCTAGATTTTCTAGATTAGCCAGAAAATGGACTTTTATGTTTTCACCCAAAAAATCAAATTTTGGTAGGAAATAAAAGTGATCACAGATTTTCATCCGTTTGACCCTAGCTCTTCTAGATTAGCCAGAAAGTGGACTTTTATCTTTTCACCCAAAAAACCGATTTTGGTAGGAAATAAAAGTGATCACAGATTTTCATGCTTTTGGCCCTAGCTCTTCTAGATTAGCCAGAAAATGGACTTTTATGTTTTCACCCAAAAAATCAAATTTTGGTAAGAAATAAAAGTGATCATAGATTTTCATCCGTTTGGCCCTAGATTTTCTAGATTAGCCAGAAAATGGACTTTTATGTTTTCACCCAAAAAATCAAATTTTAGTAGGATTTTAAAGTGATCACAGATTTTCATCCGTTTCAATCCATTTCAAATCAAATTTTGGTAGGAAATAAAAGTGATCACAGATTTTCATCCGTTTGACCCTAGCTCTTCTAGATTAGCCAGAAAGTGGACTTTTATGTTTTCACCCAAAAAACCGATTTTGGTAGGAAATAAAAGTGATCACAGATTTTCATGCTTTTGGCCCTAGCTCTTCTAGATTAGCCAGAAAATGGACTTTTATGTTTTCACCCAAAAAATCAAATTTTGGTAAGAAATAAAAGTGATCATAGATTTTCATCCGTTTGGCCCTAGATTTTCTAGATTAGCCAGAAAATGGACTTTTATGTTTTCACCCAAAAAATCAAATTTTAGTAGGATTTTAAAGTGATCACAGATTTTCATCCGTTTGGCCCTAGCTCTTCTAGATTAGCCAGAAAATGGACTTTTATGTTTTCACCCAAAAAATCAAATTTTGGTAAGAAATAAAAGTGATCATAGATTTTCATCCGTTTGGCCCTAGATTTTCTAGATTAGCCAGAAAATGGACTTTTATGTTTTCACCCAAAAAATCAAATTTTAGTAGGATTTTAAAGTGATCACAGATTTTCATCCGTTTGGCCCTAGCTCTTCTAGATTAGCCAGAAAATGGACTTTTATGTTTTCACCCAAAAAATCGAATTTTTCACCCAAAAGATCGTTTGGCCCTAGTTCTTCTAGATTAGCCAGAAAATGGACTTTTATGTTTTTACCCAAAAAATCAAATTTTAGTAGGATTTTAAAGTGATCGCAGATTTTCATCCGTTTGGCCCTAGCTCTTCTAGATTAGCCAGAAAATGGACTTTTATGTTTTCACCCAAAAAATCAAATTTTAGTAGTAAATAAAAGTAATCACAGATTTTCATCCTTTTGGCCCTAGCTCTTCTAGATTAGTCAGAAAATGGACTTTTATGTTTTCACCCAAAAAATCGAATTTTGGTAGGAAATAAAAGTGATCACAGATTTTCATCCGTTTGACCCTAGCTCTTCTAGATTAGCCAGGAAATGGACTTTAATGTTTCACCCAAAAAATCGAATTTTGATAGGAAATAAAAGTGATCACAGATTTTCATCCTTTTGCCCTAGCTCTTCTAGATTAGCCAGAAAATGGACTTTTATGTTTTCACCAAAAAAACGAAGTTTAGTAGGATTTTGAAGTGATCACAGATTTTCATCCGTTTGGTCCTAGCTCTTCTAGATTAGCCAGAAAATGGACTTTTATGTTTTCACCCAAAAAACCGAATTTTGGTAGGAAATAAAAGTGATCACAGATTTTCATCCTTTTGGCCCTAGCTCTTCTAGATTAGCCAGAAAATGGACTTTTATGTTTTTACCCAAAAAATCAAATTTTAGTAAGATTTTAAAGTGATCACAGATTTTCATACTTTTGGCCCTAGCTCTTCTAGATTAGCCAGAAAATGGACTTTTATGTTTTCACCCAAAAAATCGAATTTTGGTAGGAAATAAAAGTGATCACAGATTTTCATCCGTTTGACCCTAGCTCTTCTAGATTAGCCAGGAAATGATCTTTAATGTTTTCACCCAAAAAATCGAATTTTGATAGGAAATAAAAGTGATCACAGATTTTCATCCTTTTGCCCTAGCTCTT